CAACACATAAGATACTATAGGAGGCTTAAGTGAACAGTGAAACACTAAGAAACTCGTAAAAAATGATTAACTCTCTATCACGGCTACCCGTTACTTTTTAAGAACAGTTGCATATGTGCTAACTTAAAACTGCATAAATCTCGCTCTTTGCACGATGATAGCAGATCGAGCAATCCCCACTTAGAATGACATGTCAACGATGAACTCGTTAGTTAACATAGATATCTATCGAGGGTCCATCTCATTTCAATGTCATCCTATTTTTATAACAAATCCACGACCCTATAAGATTCCCCGTCATGTAAAGGATGACCAACTTCCTAATCCTGCACGTAGAAAATTATTATCAAGATAAAACTTTATAGATTCCGATATAGTTCGGTGCATAATAACAAATAAACAAGTTCCAACCAGTACATGATTTGGATTTGACCAAACATGAATTAAAATTGATTTTTTAAATAAATAAATAAATTGGGAAGACTTGGTCAACATTTAATAAATTTGAATTGTTATAATAAAAATATTTGATTATTCATAATAATTAAAAGAAGGGGAAGAATGAGTCAAAACTAAGCTACAATTAATATGACACATACGGTCCAATTTATATTTTTATAATATGGTATAGAAAAATACAAACCCGTGACATTATAAATTAAATTGGATTCCAACCATTCAACCTAAGTCAATTATAAACTATGATATTAATTGATTATTATATGTTATATTATATTATATTATTATATTATAATATTCAAATATTTCCTCATTGAGATTGGAGAGTGTCAACATGGAGTAGGTAGCTATGCATTTTCTATGGATGATACTAATAGCATGTTGGGTTGTCTAGAAAATATAGTGTTTTTCATAAATGTTTTTTTTTTTTTTTTAAAAAAAAGGGTTTTTATATGGAAGTCGAACTAGCTATCGAGACAAACAACTGGGAGGAGAATGAAGACTAGCGATCGAGACTGGTGATTGGTGGCTAGCGGCTAAGATCAGAGACTAGCTTTAGTTCTGATGACTAACAACCGGTTACTGACTATTAGGATTGGGGCTAACTGTGATGTCCCACATTGGTTGGGGAGAAGAACAAACTACTGTTTATAAGGGTGTGGAAACCTTCCCCTAGGAGACGATTTTTAAAGCCTTGAGGGGAAGCTTGAAAGGGAAAGTCCAAAGAGGACAATATTTGCTAGCGGTGGATCTGGACCGTTACAAATGGTATTAGAGCCCGACACCAGACGATGTGTCAGCCTTCTCGCTGTTTCCCGAAGGGGGATAGACACGAGGTGATGTGCCAGTAAGGACGCTGGGCCCCAAAGAGGGGTGAATTTGGGGGCGGTCCCACATCGATTGGAGGAAGGAAAGAATGCCAGCGAGGACGCTGGGCCCCGAAGGAGGGTGGATTGTGATGTCCCACATTGGTTGGAGAGGAAGAAATGCCTTTTAAAACCTTAAGGGGAAGCCTGAAAGAGAAAGCACAAAAAGGACAATATCTGCTAGCGGTGGATCTAGACCGTTACACTAACAACCACTGAACATCGTTAAAGTGGTCAATTGTATCGGCCCTCAACCTCGATCGTCGGTGGTGGGTGGTGCTTAGTAGTAGTTCGTTGGTTGGTGGTCGCCATTGATCAGTAATACTTGATCACGATCTCAATTACTGGTCCTAGTCTCTGGCCACTGATCCAGTCATCGAACTGATTGTTGGTCACTAGTACCCAATCCTAGTCGTAGGTTAATCATTTGAGATTTGTGTCTATTTGATCAGTGACTAATAAAATTATAAATTTAATTAAAAAAATGAAAATAAAATTTTAGAAAAACTAAATTCTCAAATATTTATTTGACAAAAATAAATAAATAAATAAATAATTGAGGGTTTGAAAAGGAGTATTGAAATTGAAGGGTGTGAAGGCCATGTGACAAAGAAAAGGAGGCTGAAACTGAATTTGCCATTTAATTCACAAACATCATCTTCTTCACAAGGTCAATGACTAAAATACCCCTCTTTTATTTATTAGGGTACTCATCTCGACATTACTATAATATTGTTTATATCATATCTATATTTATACCTTTCTTATTTTTAAGTAAAATTATTTATCAATATAATTTAATAGATAAAATACTAATTATCGGAAGATGAATAATCATTTATTTTTATTGCGGTTAAATTAAAAAAATAAATTAAATTACATTTTTAACCTTCGTACTTTTAAATATTAGGGTTAGTTTATTTTTCTCACTTTATATTAAATATTTATAATATTACATTGAATTTCATTTACGTTTTACAGATGAAAACTTTTAAAAAGTGTAGAGTTGAAATTTAATTATGTTAAAGTATAAGGATATATATAAAATTATTTAAAACTATTTTTTTTTAAAAAAATTAAAGAAAGAGTTCTTTTTCTATCCAAAAGTGTTAATATAAAGTGTGGAATTACAAGAATATCCAATGAACACTTTTGTAAGTTTCTTCCGTCTTCTTTAGCTTTAGCATTTTTTTTGTCTTTTATTTTATTTTATTATTATTTTTTCTTTTCCTTTTTTTTTTTTAAATAAAAATAAAGAAATATGAATTCAAAAGCTTTTCCTTTTCTTACATAATCTAAAAAGTTGCTTCTTTCCAAAGAAAAAAAAACTAAAAATAGGTAAAAATAGAGAAATAAAAGTCTTTGAATTTGAAGACTATAGACATCGCCTAGGGAAGAATTGCTTAGACGGGGCTTATTTAGGTCGTGTTATAAACACCCTGGCTAAACCTAGTGATGGCTGAGGTAAAATTTTAGCTTCCGACTCTCGATTAATTGAATCCCGTCACTTGAATATTGCTCAATTAGTTAAGATTTATATTCTCAACTAAGAGCCTAAAGATTCAAATATCGTGTTGAGTTCAATATGTATTATGTATGTATGTATGTATGTCACATAAAGATTGGAAGATAAGTCCTCTCGAAGGAAGGAAAAATGATATGAACCAAAACATCTCAATCTTCTAATATGAACTTCGAAGACAATGAGAAGAATGTTGTTCATTTGAAAATTATAAGGAAGCAAGACCAAAAAATCGAATTCCTCACAAAACCGTAACATTAATATTATATGGCTCATTTCATCTTAATACAACAGGTAATCATAGCCTAACGCTTTTGTTCAAGAAGATTGAACCATAAGTTTAATTTAACGTTTATTTAATTTCTAAATTTTGAACATTTTTATCTGAATTGTGATTTCGACCAAAATGTAAGAAGTTTGAATTTAACCCGATCCCCCAAATTTGGCAACTTTAACAGAAAATAGCATAAAGATAAAAAGGAAACAAAAAGGAAACAGGAAAAAGGGGAAAAAACAGACAATTAGACAACATTGAAAGATCCATAAAAAGGATCTCATTCATTGCTTCTGAAACTGAAAATATACCACCGTCCCAAAAAAAGAAAAGAAAATATATATATATATATATAGATATAATTAGAACATTAATAGGATTTAAAAATAAACACAAAACTATTATAATTGTAGCACAGTAAAATTGTAACACAACCAGAAATACAACTTTTCCTAGTTTTTAAAACAAGAACCTAATAGAAACATATTTGAGACTCATTCTCCCAAGTCTTCTCACCCCCATCACAATTACAAACTACTCGAAATCAGAAAGTTACGAAGTCACTAAACCGAGTAACTCACCCGCACCCGAGACGCCTGTCATCCCAAAAACTACAGCAGCAGAATCTAACAAATGTAACAGAACAAGCAAGGCACAAAAAGCTTCCTAATATATAACAAACCTCATCCTAGATATAGGCATTACTTTTCTTCTACGATGGTTTTGCTTTCTTTTGTTATGGGGAGTATGCCTGAAAGTGTAGGTGAGATCAGAGCCCTCAAATGAAAAGGTTCTTGTTTTTTTTTTTTTTTTTTTT